TGCAACTTTGTAACAGCTAAAACTCTGGGGACTACTTTAGACCAATCTCTACGTATTTCTACACAGAAAGGAATGTCTCTCTGCCTGCTTCAAAGCCTATTAAATCAATGCTGTAGTCTTAACATTTTTTTTAAAAAAAAACAAACAAACAACTTAAATTGTAACATAAGAACATAACAGGACTTTTTTATTATTATTATTATTTTTTCCTTTCACTTTCCATTATGCTAAAGTAGAATGTCGATGGCCTCTTCTGCTAAAAGACTTCCTCCTTTAATTCTAGAAGCTCCTCTTGTCCTTTTATACCACGGTGATGAATCTTTTAACTGAGAATTTACATAACAGAAAAGAACGATTTACTTATAACCTGACAGTTGCAAACTGACAGAGGAACCAGGCAAAGCTGTCGAGAGAGCTTCCACCCGGATTTTGCCGCTTTGAATTCGTGAATAAACTCCCAAAATTCAGGGGACAGTCTGTCTCAGCAGCACAAACCCTGCCTCTTTGTTACTTTGTGACGATTTTAACCCTTTCACATACAAGGAGATTAACAGATGAATTTTTCAGCGTGTACTGAAGTAGAGAGAGTGAGAGAAGATATTCAGACGAATCATAACTGAATGGAAATGTAATTCAGAAAAATGTTAAATTTGACATGTGCAAAACATTGTTTTCTAAGGCTCCACATATTTGAAAGCGTTTAGGGGCATATACAGGAACAAAAGCCAGGGCAGCCCTTTCAAAGTGATTTCTACTTTCTAAAGTTTGAATTGCTACGGTTGGAAGTCATTTTACTGCTGACGTGCTCCCACTTCACATCTTTAATGCTGGTCCTTACTAACGAAACATAAATAGGTCAACTTGGTGTTTGCAACATAATCCAGAATTTCATCCGCATATAAAAATACATTTGAGCTGATCTTCTAAAAAAAAAAAACCAAAATCAAAACCCAAAACCAAACAAACCAAACCAAACCAAAAAAAAAGACCTAAACCCAAAAAACATCAAACACACAAACTGTGTTCGCTAGGCTGATGTTAAGGTAAAAGCTTAAGAAGCTAAGAATAAGCTAAGAATAAAAAATTGTAAGAACAATTTAAATCGAGGTAACATAATAGAACAGGGAACAGAGTTAAATAAAACTGTAAGAAGTGCCTTCAGAATTTTCACAGAAACTTAATATCCTACTTGCTGTAGTTGGCCTATTGCTTTATAAATTATTAACAATTGTTTATTAGCTTCTAGGCAATATATATTTGTTTTCATATGGAATGCTATTGAAAAGAGTTCTGGAGCATATCACAGAATGAATCACAGAATGGTCAGTGTTGGAAGGGACCTCTGGAGATCATCTAGTCCAAGCCCCCTACCAGAGCACAGGCACCTACAGCAGGTTGCACAGGATGGCGTCCAGGCGGGTTTTGAATGTCTCCGGTGTGGGAGACTCCACAACCTCTCTGGGCAGCCTGTGCCAGTGCTCTGCTTCAAAGTAAAGAAGTCCCTCCTCATGTTAAGATGGAACTTCCTATGTTCAAGTTTATAATTTAATACGTAGGCCACAAACCGTATCTAAAGAAGGCAAACAGGAGAAAGGAAAATAAACTACATATATTGCTTTTGATGATCATATTCACTGTAAACTCTACTTATTTCAGGTAGTTTGGAACGTACTGTCATATTCACTCTCCGTATACAGTACCCAGCATCAAAAGAACTCCAAAAGTAAGTTGCGCTGCAGGTATAGCAATACAGTAATATTCAAAACAATCATGATAACACTGTTAAAAAGAGAACAGCAACAACTGAAAGTCCGATAGATGCTCCTTACGTCACCTGGTCGAAAAAGTACAGAGATGTTTGAAGACAATAGAATGCTACCCAGCAGATGGCAGGAGAGAATAAGACTGGCAAAGTCAAGAGAAGTAGCTCCCAATCCTTTTCGGCACAGCCATTTAGGGCGAGTGCTGTGCCAACCCACTCGAAAACTCCACGGGGGCCGGTAAACCGCTGACACCCGGCTCATGGGAGCGCTGGCCGGCGACCTACCGAGGCACTTGAGCCCGGGCCCCGCCACCCCAATAGGGAGG